AGAATGTCATTAACCACTTTGCAGAGAGAGAGGCAATCATGACCTGAAAAATTAAGTGGAGTAATTTACAAATAGGCTTTTGTTTGGCTAGGTTTTAGCTTATTCAGGACTTGCCTTTAGATTATTTTAGCAACACATGCTCCCCTTTCCCCACCCCATTGGCAGTATATATTTTGGGCGCCTGATACATACTGAAAATGAAAAATTAGTTTTTCGTATGTTGCTTTCTCCTGGTCCACATTGGAGAGTCCTTCTGACCCTTTTATTCTCAAAATCAAACACTATCATTTTCCTTCTTCAGAACATTTTATCTTCTCACCTTACCGTCTGTCCAAATTTCTTCCCACATGGGCCAGATGAGTATGTTATGAATGAATGAACACTGGGCCCACTTCCAGCTTTTCTCCGTAAAACCAACTTTGACTGAAGTCCACAGTGAGTTTCCTCTCTTAATTTCTTTACAATTCATAGTCTCAATAATTTAGCACTTTAAAAAATATATTCCCTTTCCCTTCTTTTGAAAATATTTAGTCCCTTCTCCTCCCTGCCCTGACTGTATTAGAAGCTATCTGCAGAGGGCTGACTTCTAAGTCAGATAAACTAGAATGAAAGTACTGCCATTTACTAGTTGTGGCATCTGAGGCACCTGGGGATGATGATAATAATAATTACTTTATAGGGTTGTTGAAGGGGGTAAAAGAGGAAGGTTATATGAAGCATAAAACTATTATATGAGCTCATTAAATTCTTGTTCTGAGATTAATTTGCTGTTTCTTTTCTAGGCAAAGCTTTATTTTTAGGGAGTGGAGGGAGAGGAAGACCTCTCCTTTTTTAAAACCAAGGACACATGTCCCCAGTTTTTGTCCCCCAAACTTATGTCCCCTTAAACTATTGAAGATTTTGTGAATTTTCATTTAATTTCATTCTTGAAGTTTAGTCAATTGTTTATTGCTTTCAGATCATTTTTCTTAACAGACATTAATTGAACTATTATGTGTCAAGTATTGTACTTGACACAGTAAAGAAAATTTCTATTAACTTCTAAAATCCCTGTCTGCAGATCTGTGAAATAATTTTTTTATGCCATGGCTTCATACAGTATTCTTCCTTTCCCCATTCCTCATATGCCATCTTAAAAATTAAACTTGGGGAAGGGAAGAAAATATCTATGGAGAGAATCCAGTGGATTACAGCATTCAAACTTATTTCAACAGCCTGAACACCTAGGATACTGTTTGTGCACGGTATGAGCCATACCCAACTCATGTCATCCTATAGCTATTATGCTTACATTAACATGTCGTTGTATACAAGTAACTATGCCTTACATCACATCATTTGAGCCCCTTTGTCTTTATTTTATTATTAATAGATGTAGATCCACGACTTTAACTCATAGTCACCATAGTTTACCCCATTTTAAGTTTGCACATACAATCCATTTAGTCATAAAACACGTTGATCTAAAATCTATATTTAGGTAGTCTAACAGTATTAACAGTCTACCACCAAAAATTCCTGACAAATTTGTTTTTGTAAAGGTCAGAGCATTCATAGTTTCTAGCTAGGATAAAGCAGCTTACTTAGATTTACAAGACAAAAACAAAGCTAAAACGAGTTTGCCTTGATCATACCAAAAACTCAGTAATTGTTTGTCTCTTCCCACTTGTAGTAACAGATAGCAAACGGATTATTATTGACATTGGTAGTTTCATGAAATTTTCAAATTGGGAGATACCAGCTAGTCACTTGTTCCCCAAATTGTGGTTTATGAGCCTGCAGCATTGGCATAACGTAGGAGCTTGTTTGGAATGAAGAATCTCAGGCCCGCCCTAGACCAGTTGAATCAAAATCTGTATCTTCACAAAATACCCAGGTGATTTTTACACTCCTTAAATATTTTGAAGCGCCATTCCAATCCACCTTCACCTCTGTCCTCCTTTAAGATATGAGAAAGTTCAAACTCAGAGTTAGTGTAGAGCTAAGATTAGAACCTCAGCCCCCTGACTCCAAGGTTACTGCTCTCTTCTGCGCTCAGAGCAACCTCAATAGCTTCTGAGTACAGCGTGGAAGTGAGTGGCTCTTGCCCACCACTTGACGTTTGGTGGTCTAGTAAAGTAGACTGCAAGATTAGAGAATCACCTTCTCTTTAACCCCCATTCCTTTTCTGTGAGAAGCTATTTGGCTTATCACCCCCTATTGCCTAAAGCCTCCCAAAGAAGAGTGAAGCCTTAATGAGGCTAGAACCCTCTTATTGTCTTGAATTTTAGATGTTTGTCAGCATCTATGATAGGAATTTTACCATCTGACATTGTTTCCCTAACTCGCAGCTCATGGTTGTGTAGTGCATCTCCATTCATACGAGGAGGAGAGAAAAAGCTGAGCCAAACCCTGTTAACAAAACAGTCCCCTGAAGGGCTATAATATTGCTCAGTGGTAATATCATCCCTATGCATTCTATCTTGTACATGAAATCTGGACTAATTATCATTTTCTCATACAGTACATTTTAGACCATTGTGTTTTTGTGTCCCTGCCTAGTTCATTAAGCAGGGTTTTACAGCTCCTCCAGTAACAGGATTGCTATTGACACTTTCATTAGACCCATAATTCAAATGCTTGTCTGCCTTCCAAATGGAAGCCTCTGAGTCCAGAACCACAATCTGGCCACCGACCATATGTTGGCTTTTAGAACTGTCATAAACTCATCATCACATTCAAGTTCTTGAAGGGTCAAAATCTGCTTTCTTGGTGAACTGTCTTTATCCAACAAACAGTCAACGTGTTCTCCAAGAATAGTCAGCCAATTTTTCTCTGTCTCTCTCTGAAAACTCTTCCAGACAGTTCTTGGTGTGGTATGACTCTAGTACAAATAATCAGTGTCCACATTTAAATATTAATTCCCTTATTTATTCATTCATTCAATTATTTTTATAATTTAAGACCAATATGCCAAGTATTATGGCAGTTGCTGTAGTGATTTAAAGATGAATAAGATGGTGTCTGCCTTGGAGTTTCTTATAGTCAGAAGATATGTATGTAAATCACTATGTGAAAAATTTTACCACTAAGTTGCCAGCAGTTGGAATGGCGATGATTGTAGATTTCTTTGCTCTTGAACTAATGGCTATTATAAACACTGTTTCTTTACCAGTGGTTCAAATGGAAGTAGACTGGGCTAGACTAAGTAGAACCGTGTGTGTGTATGAAATATATCACAGAATATAACCTTAGGAGCAAATGAAGCCAATTCCCCAATAATACATCTGATGGGCTTTAGAGAGAAGGTGGGATCGCATCAGAGACAGCAGTTGCTTTGGTGATCATGAAAAATAGTTTTTCATTATCAGTAGGATTTTGATTTCCTCTCTAAAAAGGTTCAAGAAGAAGTTCAATGAAAACATTTGATTTAGTTTACAATAAACTTTTTAGAGGTGCCTCCTAGACATCAAAAATTTTTGCTTTTGGCTGGGCGCAGTGGCTCATGCCTGTAATCCCAGCACTTTGGGAAGATGAGGTGTGTGGATCAATTGAGGTTAGGAGTTTGAGACCTGCCTGGCCAACATGGCAAAATCCCATCTCTACTAAAAATACAAAAACTAGTAGGGGGTGGTGGCACATGTCTGTAATCCCAGCTACGGGGGAGGCTGAGGCAGGAGAACTGCTTGAACCCAGGAGGCAGAGGTTGTAGTGAGCCAAGATTGTGGCACTGCACTCCAGCCTGGGCAATAGAGCAAGACTCTGTCTCAAAATAAATAAATAAGTAAATAATTCTACTTTTAATTTTTGCAGAAGTAAATATCTTGAGCACGAAGTCTGAGCAGATTACGTAACATCAGTGTGCAAGAGAAGATTTTATCCTTTACAGAACACTTTTAGCAATTTAATTAACAGAAAATTGTACATCATATTTTTTAATGTACATTTGGATATGTTTGGTTTAAATGACTACTGACTGATTGGGTACTGTGCTTTTGCTTTCTGTCCAATTAGATTAGAGAGAAAAAAAATTGTTTTGGGGTTCTTTCATGTTCCTTACATCTATGCCTAAAAAAAAAAAAAAGAAAGAAAGAAAGAAAAGAAAAAAAGAAAGGAAAAAATGGAAAAGACAAAAGTATAGGCTGGTGCCATTTATTCAAGTCTTTTCATAGGTGTTGACTTTACCTGAGCATACACATTGGATTACCTACCTCATTAGCTTTCTTCTAACGAAACCCAGAGCCACTTTCCTGAAATGGAAAGGTCCTTTTCTAGAGTGGACTCAGACTGTTAAGCAGAGGAAGTGTGTGAGGCTGGACTCCACCACTGATTGGAGTGATGTGGCTTCATTTTGCAGTAATATTGCTCTGCTATTGAAAAATGACGTCAGTATTCTTCCAAGTGCATTTCATTCTACCACGTGTGCCTTCATAAACATGTCCAATCGCGTGATGGAGGTCAACAACAGTGTAGGGTTTAGAAATTGTTGCTTAGAAATCACACTCACTTAAATACCTGAATCTGTCCATCAGCCGTGCCATAGCTTATTCCAAGCCTGTGCAGAAGAGTGATTTGCAGTCTCCTTGCTTTTCATTTCAAGTAGCATCACTCACTTTAAGCCAGATATTCAGGCCTCTTCAGAAACCTCCAGGGTGAAGGACAAGTAAGAAGAAGCTGATCAAATCTTTCACAACTGTGGCCAGCTACATCTACTCCTGCATTAAACTCAGTACATCTTTCTTTGGTGTTTTATTTCAAAATCACATATTCTTCCTTTTACGTGACAAATAATAGAGATTTTGCCACACAGTTTCAGGATCCAGATGGCTCTTTTGTGGTTCTATACATTTAATTGATCACTATCCAGGTTGAAGTCTGAGCCAGAATGTCTGGGATGGAAGAAGAGGACATAATGTTTATTTTTGCCAGTGCTTCTTTGAGTTATCTTCTCTCATCGTCTATAAACTCAGGTTGCATAACTACATTCTGTTGTTTTTTTTTTTTTTTTTTTTCACTTACAGGGACTTACCAATTTGGGCTTCGTCCAGGAGCTGAAAACTGATTACAAATATGAAACAGATTTCACTACAGGACTTGAACTCTACATTAAAAAACAATGAGCTTCCCAAAATAATTGAAAAAGATCTTCACCCAAGAGTAGCTGCAATGTGAATGGCAGGATATGAAGCAAGTAAAAGGTAAATTTTGTATGAAAATATCTTTTCTTTATGGCCAGATATATAGAAAATGTTCATATGGCCTTAAAGTAGCATTCTTTCTCAGGTAAAGGTCAGAGGATGGAGGATATTTTATATAATCAGCAAAAAAAGCTGAATGATCCAGGCTATCCTGGGCCTATCTGTCTAGCTATCAATTATAGAAATATTGCAGAATGCTAGATTATTTCTACAAACGCTATTTTGGAGGACTGGGCTTGCTTAGTAAAAGAAACATCCTCCACAAAAAGCATCCATGGGAACATTTGATAATTTATTGTGCTTCAGAAATTCTGGTGCACCATCTTGAAAACCTACCTCCTGATTACAAAGGATCAAATAAGGAGCAAAAGGCAATAAAGCTTTTAAATCCTTTTTATCTTGATGTTTGAAGACAAAATATAAAGAAAGTGGATTGGGCTTCCCAGAATATAAAAAGATCATCTGGATTAGGTACTTGCCATCTTAGCCTTTTTCAGTATGAAAAGACGGAAAAATGAATATGTGCATGTGTGTGTGTTTATACATACACATACACACATACAATGTGTGTGCATATATATATATTTACACATGCAGTTAATACCTCAGTCTCAGTTGTTTCTCTCCTCTGGCCTATTAAATCATTTCTGGCTTTATCTTTTCTGTCCTGCCTGGAAGGGCCTATGAGTTGCCAGATTCATTCTGGGACTTGTATGAAACAGAATCTGAAGAACTGGGAAAGAATAGAAGGAACAAAAGCCATGGTGACCTACTCTCATGAGGAAAGCAGTGAATTTGGAATGTAGCAATGAAAGGCGTTCAATCCTCCAGAATAAAAAGGCAGAATGGGGGTAGGGTGACTGATACCTGAGGTGTAAGTGTGGAGAGACTCCAGTGAGTGAGGATGTGGTATGAGAATTCTAGGAGATGGTGGGAATGATTTGGGGAGAGATGATGGAGTTTGAACAGTGAGCATGTGAGCTCACAGAGTGAGCTATTCAGAAAAGCAGAGTATTAGAAAATGAGAGATGATGGGAGGTATTAATAGTAATTGCCATGGACTGTATTTTTGGCTTTCCTTTATTTCTTCAATGAATGAGTAAAGGATAGAATCCCCCAATTTTCAATGAAATGTCACTTCAGGTCTGAACACATGGGTGCAGCCTTTGATAAGGTTTCACCCACAAAGCAACCATCTCACTGGGTACTCTGGCAATGGGATTCTTTTTAAAAGAAATCATAGTGTCTTCTCAATGCCCAAGCTTCTGCTTGACCACTGGTTTTCCAGTTCTTTTCATATGGCCTAGTTTTATAAAGTACAGAGCTAAGAAGGAGCTGCCCTCAGCTTTAGCCTTGGAGGAATCACTAACTAGTTGCAGGACCCCAAGTCATTCATCTAAATTAATGATGCGCACTAATTAGGGATATGGGACTAGGGAGTCACAGGTTTTGCACAGGCTATTTAACCTTCTTCAGGCATTGTTTCCTGTATCTATACAGTTGGGACATTAGAAGAATCTCCCTTGTGGGTTTTTTTTTTTTTTTTCAATGAAGTGTTGTATGCAACGCTTCACGGTACTAAGCTCAACAAATATTAGCTACCATGGTTACAGCTGCTAGTATTATTATTGGTGGTGGCAGCAATGTTAATCACTGGCCCTCAGTTTCCTCATCTTTAAAATGAAAGGATAAGATAAAACTTCCTCTCTGCTCCCTTCCAGCTCTAAAAATACTTTCCATAATTCCTGAGTTGAAGAACACCTCCCACAAGAAACAGGCAACGGGCCACGAGACAACTCGTTTTCACCCTAAGTCTCTTACAAATATTCAGGTTATTTTAAAACGCCACTCCCTGGAGAGGGCCCAAGATTTCATTTAACATGAGCTTTGCCAATTTCAGTATCTTGCTCAGTACTACTTGCATACTTGTATTACTGAATAAGAAAAAGGGTTGGGTTTTTTTCTCTTTCCATCTATCACTGAACCTACTTGAACTACTTATAATTTATTCTGTAGATATGGCGACACTAGTCAGTAGTTCTGCCATTTACAAAAAAAAGGTAGATATTCTCAAAAGTATATTTTCCTTTTCCTTTTTTTCCTCCACCCTCTTTTTCCTCTTTTTTTTTTTAAAAAAAGACGATATTAAAACCCCAGTTCTTCTGTGAGAGGAAACAGACCATCTCTTTGAAAGACTTTTAGGCTATTTCTGCTCTTTCCTTGATTTGCTTGGTAGCATCTCGGCCACAGGAATACAATACTGATAGAGTTGTTGATTGGTCCTAGAATATATCACAGTCCCTAAACACATGAAATTAAAAAAAGAAAAAAGAAATCAACATGGTTCTGAAAGGAAGGTAGTTAAAATTCAGAAAGAGAGATTCTTTAATTAACTTAATAAAATTACTAATGGAAGCATTTTAACTGCTAAATTTAATTTACTTGTCAAGATATCAGGCTACAAAGAGGAGGGAAGAGTAGGAACTCTGCTTCCCATTATGATGTTCTCTATTATAGAATAAATTTGCTTAAAATGAAATATATCACCAAAAGCCATCAATGACATCTTAATTTGGAACAGCCAGTTGAAAAGTAATTAGACTATGAAGCAATCAGTTCTAGTAAATCAGTGTTTCCCTTTACATAAACATACATTTTTTTTTCCTATTTATATACAGGAAAGACTAGACTTTCAGGTAGTAGGCAGGCAAAGAAGCTGATTCTTTTGGCTGTCGGTGTTTCTACTTTACATTACCAAGCTGTCAAAACAAAATGTTTTATGATAGGATTAAAAAATGTATAAGCATCTGATTTGATTTAGTGTTTATATTTATATGTTGAACTGAGGAGAGTTTGCTTATCATAGGGGTTTAAAAGATTTACATTTGTCTGCTTCTTACTTCCAAAATGCTTTCCAGATCCATAGGCAGCCCTGACACCTTACTTCAATGAATGAAGCCCAGTCAAAAATCAAACAAGAGCTCTGCTTCTCCCTGCAGGGCCTCTCCTAACTTACATAAATAAACGGAGAGAATGTGGTTGCTAATGAGACATGGTTTGAGACTGAGGTGGGAGTGGTTAAAATTATCCTTTTGTTTAGCAACCGAAAATTCACCATTAGGAATTTCTCGCATTGTAACTGACCTTCCTAAAAGTGTGTTTATTTGCTTATTGTTATGAAAAGCTAATAAGAGACAAGGGTAAAACAGAAATAATGCATATTTAATTTGATTATAAAAAGTTAGCACAATTTGGCAAAGAGATATCAAAAATTCAAGTATCAAACTACTTTATAGTAGGAAACACTTTCTGTATATATCTTTTCCGATCACCTTCATACCCCATGAAGAAGAGTTTTCAACTTCAATTTACAGACACGGAAATGGAGGCCCAGAGAGGTTAAGTGTTTTGTGGAGGCAGTAGAGGTAGTTAATGGAAGAACTGGGGCTAGAATTAGGGCTTCTGGGCCCCTGATACTCTTTCCACAACATCTGCTTCTGATGATGGAATCCCATCTGTTATATGCTGAGGGGAAGAGGTGTGAGAAAAATAACTAGAGGAGCTATCAATAACTCAGCAAAATATTTATGAAGGACATCGTTCAGATATTAGGGGCGTCACCATTGTCACCAGCTCCGAAAAATCAGAGAGGATGATGAATTATGCCAAAGAGAACATTAGCTCATAAGGTAGAGACTATCTTGCAAGGATATACTTTTGTTAGTATGTATTATTTCCAGTGGGAGAGAATGGTGTGAGAGAGGAAAATAAAGGCTAATTTTATAGGGTGTGAAAATAAGCTACACCTTGTGATTAAGAGAGAAATGTGGGAAGTCTCTTAAACCCAGTTCTAGGATCTGCCAGCATGAAAATCACTTAACAGTACGCAAATGACCTGGGCATAATAGAGTAAATCATGTCCATCCCGCCCACAGTGTATTTAGAAATGTGATCATTAATAATGACACTACAAAGTACTATTCCTCACTGGAAGACATGAGATTGGAAGGAAATCTAATATGGATGATACAAAGGGAGTAAGTATTTAGATTGGCAATTGTAGATAGGTGTGAAGTAAACTAAAACAATATAATTAAAGTGTAAAAGCCTCTATTGCACTGTCAAAGTGAGAGAACTGGGCAGAACACAGGGACTGCAGGGCCCTTCTCCCTCTAGGAATCTAGTGAAAAGACAGTCTGTTGTCCACCGTGGCTCCTCAAGATCCGTGTGTAACAGGACAATTGCCCTGAGAGTGGAGACTATATGGCAAGAACTATATAAAACTAGACACAACAACTTGAAGTTACTAAGGAAAAGATAAGGAGTGCAAAAGTGGTCAATAAGATATTGCTAGTAAAAGAGGTTAAATGGAGTAAGGAGGTCTTTTATAAATGTATCAGGGAAAAAAAGTGATCCTCAAGAGAAAAAGACTACTGAATAAGTAAGGGAAGGGTGTGAAATTAGTGATGGCTGAGATATTGACTTCCTGCTTTAAGTCAGTTTTTAAGAGAGAAATGAGAAGAAAATCTGGACAGCTGGAAGGCAATAATGTCTTTTAAAAATAAGTATTGACAAAGAGGAAGGGGGGAAATTTAGAAAAAAATTAAGCATTGTGGCATATACCGATTGTAAGTTTCAGATAATATGCTTCCTAGGGAATTAGATTCCCTGCCTGTGAACAGTACACAGACATGGAAGAAGGACAATACAAACTACAGAGATGTCGGAAGTTCTTCAAAACAAATGTGTTTCATATAACAGGAAAATAAGGGTTGGGGCAGATTGGGAAGGCAGACATAGGACAGGCTCTCTAAGTGTTGTGTAAATTTGTGGCATATTTAGTCATGGCTATGTGGCAATTGCAGTTTTTAGAAAAGTGGTGAAAACTTTCTTCTTGTATTCAGCAAGAGAGGAAATAAGTTGGATACCCCATGCAACTAATATGTATTTTAGATACTTTAAAAGTATGATAGAGAGTTACTGTTTTATGGGAAAAAGTA